GCTGTTTGCAATAAACATTTGTTTTGTGCATAGACATCTAGTCTGCTATCTTGCCCTGTTCAGGACAGTGCTCTGACTGTGGCTGGGGCTGGAGGGTATGTGTGGGATGTTCAGGGGTCCTCTGGCCCCATGGGCCTGGGTGGGACAGGCAAATGTGGCCAGTCACACACACACACCCATATGACAAGGAGCCAGGGGTGGCTTGGTCCTGAGCAGACTGCTTGGTCAGCACTGGTTCCCAGTGTCTGTGGCACAATTAGCTGTTCCATGGGCTGTCCCCACCAACCAGCCCGTCCTTCAGACCCCAGTGAAGTGCCACACCACCAGTGCTTGGGCTGCTGGTCCCTGCTCTGCCACTCAGACCCTCCAGGATTTGTGTGCTCCAGACTCAATGCCACAAGTCTCAATTTTCAAAATCCTTTGAGACCAGGCTGCCAGGACTGCCAGTGTTAGCAGCTGCTGCCTTCCCTTCTGGGTGCATGGAGGTGGTCCAGCACGAGTGCTGCCACAGCTTTGCACCATTGTTTTCAATAACAATCCATTTGTTCCTCCTCCAAGTTGCTGCCAGCAAAAGTAGGTGTGTGATGCTGCATGTGGTTGTGTTTGAAATGAAGGTTTTTCAACAGACACCATTTTCTCAGATGCCCAGCCTGCACCCCAAAGGATGCTGTCACCATTGCACCCAAGTCCTCCATCCTGTATGTTGACAAATGGTTATCTGGATTCACTCTGTATGTTCATTCCTTTGTTTTCCTACATGGCATCCCCAATTTCTTGCTTCTCCACTCTAATGTCACCTTCCAGCACCTTGCCCACCTTAGGCCTTTTTTGATATTCAAGTACCCTTCAGCTCCCTGTGATCCTTCACTCAGAAGCTGTTTCCAGTCTGTTTTCTTTAAATTGTCTTCTTGAAAAATGCCCATCAGTTCCAGCCACCTCTTGCCTTCTGTGGCCAGGCTGTGGGGGGCCACAAAGCTCTTTTGGATCAGTTGAAGCTCCCAGCATGGTTCCCAGGCTACTTCCAGCCTTTCCCCGTTGCAGCCACTGCTTGCTGTCCCTTGCTAACAAACTTCCCTCATTTCCTGCAGCTCCCTTCTGACAACGTTCAATGTGACTGATGGATTTCTCTGGCTCTCTCCCAGCAGCCTTTGAGAACCTTGCAGTCACTGCCCTAGAGTGACTCTTCAGTGATAATGGTGTGGTGTAGGTATCCACAGGGCTAAGCTGAAGATGCTGTTCCTCCCAGGTCTGGAGGCAACAGCAGCCAGGGAGCAGGTATCTGGCTGGGAACCTTGGTTGTGTGCCCTCTTCCTTCCGTTTTGTCTCTGGTCATGGCTGCATCCACATGTGAACTCCAGCACCCTGGTTCCAGCATCGTGTTGTAGAGAAGCATGTATTTGCTCTTGCTGTGGTTGCTTGTTTTTATGGGCCTCGTTAAAGCAGCTCTTTACTGCCTCCCACATGAACATTGGGGGTTTTATGATTCCAGCCCAGGGATGAATTATCTTGTCTTTAGTCCTACTGCTTTGTAGCTGCCTTCAGTACCTCTCTTCTGCCTCTGTCTTTGTGGTCACCCTCCTGGGTGTTTCCACGGACAGAGACCCTTTGCTCCTCCCTAGAGACTGCAAAAGACTGTCTGATACTGACAGCTGACACTTGTGTGTGCAGTAGGAAAGATCTATGTTTCTATGTTGGCTTTCCTTCTTATGCTTCACTGTGCACTCCACTCAGCTTGAGTTGCAAGATCTCCTTTCCTTTCTGGAGACAGGTTGCTCTGACTGTTTTGTCTCCCCACTGTTTCAGCCCCTTGTGGAGGCTGCTGGATTTTCGTGTACTAGGAGAATGATCTCACAGCCAAATTCTTTACCTTTTTGCATCTCTCTAAACCAGAGCTCTGCTCCCCTCACATGGGGTCTCTACCTGCCTGCATATACCAGCCCACACTCACTGCAGGACATGTGAGCTGAACCTGGATGCTGGTTCAGTGTCCCTATTTGCTATGGACACTACAAGTGGGATTCATGTTCCTGGTGCCACCCAAAATGCCTCAGGGCATCAGATACAACACGGGACTTCTGGCCTCCCTGTCAGGAGTAGGAGGTGAGGTGAGCTGCACTTCTCCTGACACACTGTGCTAAGTACTTGTCCTCTCACTCAGCTCGATGCCTGGTTTTGCTCTTAGCCCACCTCCAGAGATCTGAGCATCTTTCAAAATACCGTATATTTACGAAACGGAAATAAATTGGAAAACCTTAAATCGGTTAGAAACAAGCTCAGAGTTTCATGCACTAAGCTGCTTAGGCTAGAAACATTTGCAGAAAGGGATGATGTCCACCCAGGTAAGGGAAACCTTTTGCCTTCACTGGCCTAGTTCACATGCACACAACCTGGGGGCTGTGCCCAGCCCAGCTCTGTCAGCGTCCCGCGGAGCTGGGGCTCCCCAGCACCCCGCGGCAGGGCACAGCCGGGTGCGGGGTCACAGAGGTGCGCGCGTTTCTCCGCCTGCTCCACCAGCGCGAGTCCTGGTCCCTTCAGACGGGCGGGCAGGACCTTTTGCCAGCCCAGCTCTGTCAGCGTCCCGCGGAGCTGGGGCTCCCCAGCACCCCGCGGCAGGGCACAGCCGGGTGCGGGGTCACAGAGGTGCGCGCGTTTCTCCGCCTGCTCCACCAGCGCGAGTCCTGGTCCCTTCAGACGGGCGGGCAGGACCTTTTGCCAGCCCAGGCTTCCCCGGGGCGCCCCACGGTTTCCCC